CAACCAGTAGACCACAGCAAGAAGTGAGACCAATACCTGAACAAGCCCTAGCAGGGCCATAGAAGAATAGAAGGTCGTATTTTGTGTTTGGTTTGGGTTTTTCTGTGTGACTAATTTACGAACATTCTTCAGAACTGAAACATGATTTTTTTTTAATATCTGATATCCAGATATCCTACTTCTCTTTTTTTTATTACTTCCTCCCCATTTTGAGGAATATGTTAACAAGAACCATTTTTCTAATGCTCTCTTGAAACAGACAAGGCTAAATTAAAGTGAACTATGAATTAGGGTAAACATTACAGCCTGCAAGCCCAGCTCTAAATTATTTATGTCATGTAGATGGAGGGAAACACTGAACCTGGGTGGAGGCAGCTACAGAATAGCTACTTCACTACTAATGCAATATAGTTGTCTGGGGAAATTCCTTTCAGACTCACTGGTTCAATTCCCATGTAGGAGTCTGATCAGGCAGGATCTGATGAGGAGGAACCAGAGAATCATAGAAATTTAGTGGTTGGAATGGACCTTACAGATCATCTAGTCCCAACCCTCTGCCCTGGGCAGGGACACCTCTCACCAGAACAGGTTGCTCAAGGCTCATCCAGCCTGGCCTTGAACACTGCCAGGATTGGGGCAGCCACAGCCTCCCTGGGCAACCTGTGCCAGTGTCTCACCACCCTCACAGGAAAACACTTTTTCCTAATATCTAACCTAAATTTCCCCTCCTTCAATTTGAAACCATTGCCCCTTGTCATATCACTGCAGTTCCTAACCAAGAGTTCCTCTCCAGCTCCTTGTAGGCCCTTCAGATACTGAAATGCTGCTATGAGGTCTCCATGCAACCTTCTCTTATCCCAGCTGAACAGCCCCAACTCCCTCAGCCTGTCCTCATAGGGGAGATGCTCCATTTCTCCTAGCAACTTCATGGCCTCCTCTGGAAAGTGTGACTCAGTGGAATTTTCAGATTTCAAGGACACACTGGCTCAAGGTGTAAGACCACAGTGGCTATAAAGTGATGTCTAAATAGTGCCTGCCTCTTCCTGACACAGCAACCTGCAGTGG